ATATACATATATACACATATACATATATACACATATACATACATATACATATATATATATATACATATATATATATATATATATATATATATATACATATATATATATACATATATATATATATATATATATATATATATATATATATATATATATATATATATATATGTATATATATATATATATATATATATATATATATATAATGATTGCGGGTATTCGAATCCTTTGTAATATCATATCATGATTGCGGGTATTCCCTTTGTCCTCGCAGGGCCATTAAAAACCAACTAACAATAAATGATGGTATAAATTAAATGGTATCATTGTTTTCCATGTCTTTGTTTAGTTTTGGCGGCGATTTCAGATATCTTCATTTATATTCATTTTTTCTAATCGTACCCGCTTTGACGTCGTATCGGGTAGGATTATAGAACTAATCCTACCTCACACGACGTAAAACCTGGTAGGATTAGAAAAAATGAATATAATGAGGTGTATTAGTTTTTAATTGCCCTGCGAGAACAAAGGGAATACCCGCAATCATGATATTATATAAATCAACAATCTGGATACAGTTGGCGATATTTCGTAAATCAAAAGATCTCGCTATTTCGTTGCAATTACACATGGACTTTAATCTCCGAGCAATCAGGATGGACTTTAATCTCCGAGCCAACGGCGCCGTTCCGGGCGTTTGCCCGGGGCGGGGCGAGGGTACCAATTCCGCCCGGCTATTTACACCCGGCGAAAAGAAAGCATTAGCGAAAGCAGCTGGGAAATTTGTTGTCGCTGCATGTGCAGAGAAATTGCTGCCGCACGTGCATGATATTTTACAAAAATTCGAAAATTTGAAGAAACAAAACGAGTGAAATTTCAATTCATGCATGCATGCATGTATTTCTAGCTTTTGTGTAAGTTGTATCTATCGTAATTTGAAGTAAATTTAATTAGCATTTCAATTTATAATAGTAAATAGAAATGATATTATTTTTATGAACCCCATAATGCCTCAAATGAAATATAATCATAAGTTGTCCGACTCGATTAACACTACTTGAGTTACTTCGGCACCCTTACTTATACCTGCACCATGTATTCAGTGATAATTATGCAATGTAGTTTATATATAATCTGTTTTAATTGTAACATAATTGTAGCAACGGTCTCACTTATATTTTGCCGGATAAAATTACTCGCCACGCCAGTGCTTGTCCGTTCTTGAACTGAATCAAGCTTTAACTTGAATTTGAACTGAATCAAGCTTTTAATCTTTATTCTAGCAAATAGCGGTTCTATATAAATTAATTTATAAATTGCTAGCTATACTAGATTACAAACGAATAAAATAAATACAAATACAAAAACTAAATGAGTTATACCTTTATCGAAGGCTCCTTCCGAACTTTAAGTCTCTATACTGTTCAGCACAAGCAAACGATAACTAAATTTATTACTAACTTAAGCATGCAAACTACCTTAAATACTAGCTATTTTATGCTAATTAATTAATTAATTTATTTTACCTAATCTATTTTAATTTCGTCTTTACATACCGGCCTCAAGGAGTTCAAAAACTCTTTCCTTCTTAAAATTGCGAAATTATAATTGCAATCCATTTTTTTTGTTCTTTTGTTTTACTTAAAATGTTTATAATTATCATCCTTAATTTAATTAAAGTTAATTAACGTCCTAATGTGCGCCCTCTAGTAAACAAATTTTGCGAACATCTCGTCGCATACGAGCTGTAGCAGTCCTTACTACTACTTGACGGACTTGTCCACGCTTGTCAGGAAATACTTCCTCAATCAAAGCTTTGGGCCATTGACCGCGTGAAACATTCTCTTGAACAATCAATACTAGATCACCAACTTGAACATTTCTCTTAGGGCGAAACCATTTTTGTCGCTCTTGCAGCATTGGTAAATACTCTTTGAGCCACCTTTTTCAAAAAACATTTGCCAGGTATTGCGACTGTTTCCAACGTTTTCTATATGGAACAAGATTACCGAGATCTGTAGATGGCAGACTCGAATTAGGTCGTAACAACAATAACTGATTAGGAGTAAGAGGATCAAGGTCATTGGGATCATTCGTCACACGAGTCAACGGCCTGTCGTTTAAGATCTTCTCCACTTCAGTAATGACAGTTAAAAGGGTTGCATCGTTGACCAACTACCCGAGGTAGTGGTCCAACTACCCTACCCATCGTTGACCAACTACCCTGGGTTGGGATTACCCAATATCGAGCGTAGTATTTTCCGTATCGAGCGGATCATTCGCTCCCATACTCCTCCTGCATGACTCGCGGCTGGTGGGTTGAAATGCCACTCGATGCTTCGATTTCGCAAAACATTTATTATTCGATGCTGGTTCCAATTCTTCAAGGCGTGCATTATTTCAATTTCGGCTCCCTTGAAGTTGGTTCCATTGTCACTAAAAACTTGAGTGGGCGGACCACGTCTACTGACAAATCTCATGAAGGCTTGGATAAATGAATCAGTACTCAGATCATGCGCGATCTCAATATGCACGGCTCTCATCCCAAGACATGTAAATACATAACCGTATCGTTTGACAGTACTACGTTTAACTTTCACTGGAATAGGTCCAAAATAATCGATCCCAACACATGAGAATGGAGATTGTGCCGGCGTTACCCTTGCGCCTGGCAGTGGAGCCATAATTTGACTTTCTGGACGCGAATTCCAACGCTGACAAGTAAGGCATTCTCCAACTACTCGTTTAACAGCTGCTGGACCTTGTAGAACCCAAAATTTCTGTCTAATCGTTGCCAAAACTTGGCTAATACCAACGTGTCCTTCCATGTGATGATAATGTTTAATAATTAGTGCTGTGACGTGGTGTTTCCAAGGCAGAATCATAGGATGGCGTACATTGTAACAAACCGGAGCTTTGTCAATACGTCCCCCAACTCGAATAATACCATCGACTAGTATAGGATCAAGTTTTCGTAAAGGACTGAGGTATCCCGATTCACGCAGCACTTTACTGAGACTGTATGACTTTCCTGCTTTAATAAGTTCACATTCTTTCGTAAATACTTGCATTTGCACCAATCGAACAATTTCTTTCGTACTTGAATGAATCTCGGAGACTTTGAGGGGACCACGATCGAAATTACGTTTCGATGTCTTAACCTCTCAAATATGATTTATATCTGCCAGGCAATGGTGAGTTGAAGATGACACCAATTTGAAAATCGAGAAATCAAATTAACCATCACGTCATTCCTACTAACAATATGAACATGGTGTGATTGCTTTATTTCTTTGTCATCTCCAGCCAGCTCTATGAGATCTGTTGGTTGTTGTGGCCAGTAGCATTCATTCGTCCACAAAAACGAAGGACCATTTAACCAATGATCTAGATAGTCTGTATCTGTTGCCTTTATACCACGAGAGGCATGGTCAGCTGGGTTTAACTCTGACTGATGGAACATATCTCCACTGCATTGGCAACGAAACTTCATGGATCAATGACAAGCGATTTGCCACGAACGTCTGAAATCTTCTGGCTTCGTTACGGATATACTGAATGACAATCGTAGAGTCTGTCCAAAATACCGTTTGATGAATAAGAATCTCCAATTCTTTCGAAAGCAACTTATGCAGATTTATAGCTACTGTTGCAGCCGTTAGTTCCATTCTAGGGATTGTAATGGTTTTCAAAGGCGCGACTCGCGACTTTCCCAAGAGAAGAGCACAATGAATGTTTCCGGATATGTTTTCCAGTCTAAGATATGAAGCAGCTCCATAACCATCTTCTGATGCATCCGAGAAATGATGTAACTGAGCAGAACGAAGTTTTTCAAAGTTCTCAGGCTTTAAACAACGCGACACCGTGAGATTCTCGATATTCGATAGGTAGTTAAGCCACTGCTTCCAAATAGGGAAATTCTCTTGCGGAATTAAGTCGTCCCATCCAAATTGAAGCTTGCATAACTCCTGTAAAAATTTCTTGGCCGGCAGCAGCGAAGAAGCCACAATCCCAAGAGGATCATAGATCGAGGATACAAACGACAAAACTTTTCTTCTTGTATCCAATGAACCTTTACTAGTGACTTTAAACCCAAACTTGTCTCTCTCAACAGATCATCGTACTCCCAAAGCACGATCTACGGGTAGCTTATCCAAATCTACAAGCTCTTGAAGCTCTTTCTTTTTCTGGGATAACACTCATTACTTCCCGGCGATTCAAAATCCACTTTGTAAGATGGAACCCACCTTTCTCCAATAACTTGGGAAGTTCTTGTACAATAGTTAAAGCGTTCTCGACTGATGGTACCGACTTGAGACAATCGTCAACATAAAAGTTACGATTTAAAGTGTCAATCATCTGGATGTCAAATTCACCTTGGTTATCAGTTGCGGTCTTCTTAAGTGCATAACTCGCGCAACTTGGGGAGGAGGTTGCACCAAACAGATGTACCAGCATTTGATAATCTTGCGGTTCCTTAGATAAAACGCCGTCTGGCCACCACAGAAAGCGGAAAGCATCGTTATCTTTGGGGTCCACTTTAACCTGGTGGAACATCTGTTTGATGTCAGACATTACTGCTACCGGTTCTTGGCGAAATCGTATAACATCAGAACAGCTACCAGTGAATTCGTCAGATCAGGACCGCTCAGCAACTGGTCATTGAGAGATGTTCCTTTGTAACGCGCTGAACAATGGAATACAACCCTCAGTTTATCTGGCTTAACCACAGGGTGGTGCGGAAGATACCAGACTGGCTTTTCTTCTGAATCGTCTTTAAGGTTGACGGGAACTTTTGTAGCGTGACCTCTTTTTATGTAATAATTTATCACGTAAAATATCATGATTAATAGAGACCAAGAAAATGGCTAAAGCCTTAGTATAATTACCGAATACGAATTATGTACTAAATCCAAAATTTTAAAGATAAATCACTGACAGACATTTCTCTGTTTGGCTATATAGTATCAAATGTTTACATTTGCTAATATTGGGCTCTGCCGCTCTAGTTCTATATAGTAGACACTACAATACTGTTTCTTTTGAAAATCTTATAAACAAGACGCGTAGTAAAAAGTAAATTGGTGCAAAACATATCAACGTTTACAAGAAAGGACAAATCTAATGGCGTATTTTAAAACATTACTGTAAACGTTTGCCTTATAAAACCGCGCTCGAGTGTGAAGAGAGCTTTGAATAAGAACATGGGAGAGTATAAACTTTATAAACTTCGTAAACTTTAATAAGTGCCACTCCCTAAAAAGGGCTTTTCAGTGATACAATTTAGAAAACATATTACAATATGATTTATAAGAAAGTTATATACTCATCTAGAATTACTCATATGCACTGAGTAGTTCAAACTACACTCGTGGAAATTGGGAAAACTCGAAATTGTGTGAAAACACTTCGCCCTATTTCGAATTAATGTTTCGAATTCAATTATTTAATGAATGCATATTTCGAATTAATGTACCCCCCTGTAAATCCTAACTCTTTGTAAGTTCAATATAAAATGGGTTTTGATTTCCATTGTTAAAATATGGTCCAAAACTTGTACAACTCGCCGAAGTATCTCCCGATTTTCGAAGAACGGCATCTGTTCTACATGCTGGCGAATTGTTTTTGAGAATAAAGCGAGTTGAGTGTGAGAATTTTCGATTCGAAGTGCCGTGCAGACGAATCGACGATTGTAAATCGTTTGCCTTTATCATGTAGTATGTATACTAGTACCATCGAGTGCAAAGTCTCGGAAAATATTAGTCCAACAAAAGAGGAATAAAGGAAGAACACACACTATCAAATAGGCAGGTCAATTTCATTTTAAAATTTATATTTTATGACATATTTTTACTATAATATACATTACTATAGGTCTATACTGACCGTTGTGAGATTGGGCCGGCTGTGGTTGATGTAATTTGATACTTTCCCCACACACCCTCGGGCGCTAACTTTTGGATGAGGCACGTGACCTGGGAACGAGGTTGTAGCCGTTTGAGTTGTAGTTACGAATACATAGTTCCCCACAATAGCACCCCCTCTTTAAATGTTGACATACAAACAATTTGAACAAAAGCAGAACAACATATGTTAACAAAATAACTACAAAAACTACTTTATAACTAACGATATATTATTTAAAGAACAGTTAACCGTGGTTTCACTAAATTATTATAGTATTAAAAGTCATTGAATCTGGTTAGCATCCTATAATGACTCGTCCGGATCTGCCAGGCATGTAGTGTGTTCGAACACATTGTCTCTGGAGTGTCGTCATTGTTGGCTTGTTGCGGTAGTCGCTGCAAGGTTTGATGGTATCCACAGGGTCGCAGAGAGGGGGGGGGGCAGTGGGGGAAAATTGCCACGGGGCCCGAGGTGCTGGGGGTCCCTGAAAATTTTTTGTTGGGCCCCAGTCTTTTTTGTGTGTTAAATATTTCCGCGCAAAGGACAAGATATCTGTTTTTTAGGCTAAGTACCGAAATTTGGAATAAAAATTAGATAAAGTCCCTGGAAAGCAATTGCAACGTACTCGTCCGGAAAATTATTTTACCTAAAAAGTTGTCGACGGGGGGGGAGGTTATTCTCCGAAAAAAATTTTTCCGGAAAAATTATAAATTAAGATAGGGGCCCCTAAAAAAATTTAGATAAAGATAAATTTAGATAGTGGCCCCTAAAAAAATTTGCCCCGGGCCCCCGCCAACCTCTCGGCAGCCCTGGGTATCCATGGACTATTGGGCATCCTGACGAATCCTCATTATTTGTTAAAGTCCTTATGTCTCTTATGGTGGACTTGGTGGTACCAAAGAGTCTCTCAAGTATATCCTATTCCTCTGATATATTCGCCCGTCTACTTTGATCGTGTGGATGCGCGGTGCTCTTTCATCAGAAACGACATTACCCTCTCTTCTATCGCTATGTGGCTACTGTGGGTGTGTCTTT